GCCAGCACCTCAGCTCGGATATGATGATGAAGAGCGGCGAGAAATTCAGGATCAATATCTCCTGCATTCTGCTGTTCACTGTTAGAAGGCTGTGACACCTGTACTTGTTGAGCCGAAAGGACTTCAGCCCGTAGTTCCTGTGGTAGAGCATCCAGAAATGCAGGATCAATGGATCCAGAACCAACATCACTGTTTACCGGCTGTTCGGCTGGAGCATTATCCTGCTCAGCCTCATGGCCAGAATTCTCAGAAACTTCAGTCACACTGTGAAGAGACACATCTCGCCCAGCCGAAGATGCCATGAGTGAGACATTTGTCCTCCTTGAACGAGTTGGTGCCTGTATTTCATGCCTTTCTCCACCATCATCGTGCCCATCAGCACTTCCAATTTCAACATCCAGACTCCTGAGGCTTTCCCCTAATGTTGCGCCACTCCCACCGCTTTCTTGACTCACAGCTTCAACATCCCTAACAGTTGAATCATTCTGTTCATACTGCATTTCGACAGACTGAGATTGTACACTCGATACAGAATCAGCCGCGGCGCCTCCTCTTGTATCAGATGGAGCAGATGAATCTATGGCTATGGTTGAAGGCACAGACACATTGGCATTTGTATCATTAGCAGCATTTTCAGCTGGCATTTCAGGCCTTACATTTGCTTCCTGCAACCGAGTACCCTCAGTCTGCTCTATAGGGGATGTACTCTGATCAGAAGGCTTATCGGAACTGGGTCGTCTCAACTGTGAGACGAGCAAATCTTCAAGAGCTTGTGGTACAGTAGACGCACCAGATCCAACAATTTGCTGGTTCTCATCAGCCCACAAATTCAAACGATGACCGTTGCGTCCATTCCTTAAAGAACGGAATATAGCATCCAGCCGTGATGGAGTACTACTCTGTGAATCCCTGCCTGCACCAGCAAGATCACGCATATTTCCTACAAAGGGAAAAAAATATTGATTAACAAAGAATTCCAAAATGAAATAGAAACGTAAAACATTTGGTCGCCGGATCTGATAAACAAAAAAATTTGGCAGTCTGCATCAGACATACAAATAGTGTATTTCATCAAAAGGTCTTATATCGCATTCAATCTGGTTATATAACCTAAACCAGAGCACAAAAAGGAAAAGAAAGAGGGTAAAAGAAGAAAAAATGATCTAAATGATTCTACGCAAATATAAACTAAAAAAATGATATTTATCTGTAATAAATCTAGCATAACAAAAAGGAAAACATCCAAAGTACGAAAGTGAACCTACCTGATTGTCTATGGGATGCTGAAAGTGATAAGGAAGAGAGTCCTGATAAAAGAGGATGTTGTGAAGGTGCAGCACTGTCACCAGATCTGCCGAGAAGGTTGTAAATAGATGTTGTCCGCCCTTGACGTCTAGAGCCAAAGACTTCAACAGGCATCACATGAAGAGAATCATCAGGAAATCTATGATCTCTAAAAACGTCTAGATGGTCGAGGACGTTTAATCCATTGATGCCATCTTCAAAACGGAGAATTACCCGATCTTCATCATCTTCATCCTCTTCATCATCTTCAACCAATATTTCTTCCTCAAATTCATCATCATCAAGCTCATGATCATCTTGATCAGTGTCATGATGAGGCAGGTGATGCACATCATCATCTTCCAAGTCATTGTCTTCCTCATCTTCTTCGTCTTCATTGTCATTTTCATCTTCATCTACATCATCGCCCTCATCACCAGACATTTCCTCGTTCTCATCTTCGTCAAGATTTTCTTGCACATGGGGCTGCATCTCAAATTCTATACCCATGGCCCCAACGCCATTTTCCAGCCCCCTAGCCTCCTCGCCTGCTTCTCGCATATAATCATCCTCGGCCACAGCAGCAAAACCACCATCCAGCTCCTGATCGTGCTCCATGTCATCTGTCACAGCCTCTGAACCAACATAATTTTGTGAACTACCTAAGTTCTCCACATGTTCGGCTGTCATCGAATCATGATTGGACCGAGACATCCTTTCCTCTTCTTGGGATATATCAGCAGCATTATCTGCTCTTCTGGATTGAACTTGATCAGAAGACTTATTCGCATTTTCATCCTTAGAGTTTAAATCAGCAGAATGGACATGTTCCTTAGTCACCAGCTCCAAGACTTTTATGATTCCAGTAACAGCTTTGGGAGATTCTACATTGTCCAGATCCAAAACTTCAAGAGTACGAGTAAGTGACTTCACCAAGCCAACATCGATAAAAGTAGCAGAAGCTTCTGAAGATATGTGTGATCCAGTAGGTGTGCGAGCTGATAGCATATCATTCAACAGATCAACAAAAATCTGTATATCACTGCCTGGCTGTCCATAACCATTGCACGCATCTACAAAATCATTGAGGATACTGTTAATTTCAGTAAATATCCTCTTCCTCGCTTCAGCTGATCGAACAGATGCCGCCACTAAAAACTGATTAGCTCTAGAAGCCAGCTTTTGTCGCCAATCCCCATCCGATTTCCTTTCCTTTTTCACCCTTGAGTACGGAATAAACTTGTGAAGGATATGATGAAATATTACACCAACTTGACCATTCTTCTGATGAGGACCTCTGAGACCGCTAACGTCAGCATCTTTTCGAAGCAATATGTGGACAGATGAAGAATACATTAGCAAGATTTCTGTTAACAGCTTCAGAATAAAAACAATCTTAGCCAGTGATGCTGACATGTCTTGAGAATTAGATTCCTTCTCTTCAGGCATAGTGGCGACAGCTTTGCCTTTCCCCTTCGTAACGGCAAGATCAATGTCCATGTCTGTTGATGCTGAATCACCTACAACCATGTCATCTTTCGGAGGAGGAATGAAGTCATTAATAGAATCCAGAAGGAGCTCAACAACACTAACAAAGGTCTCTGGAGGTTTCCTGTGAACTTTAGGACTCTTGATGCTCCCAGGAGCAGGAGATGTTGAGCTGCCCAATGCAGTCTTCTCTTCATTATTGATCTGAGATTTTTCCTTTTCAGTTTTTTCCTTATCCTTATCCTTCTCCTTGTCCTTAGATTTCTCCTTTTCTCGATCTTTTACTAAAATGATGTAAGGCCTTTCACCAACAATCTCTACTTGGCATATAGACTGAGCAGCCTGAATAAAAATAACTGGATCCCGAGAAATTACTGAACTTAAATTCAGTAAAAAATTGCGTGGAGAGATTCTCGGATTCGAGTGTCTGTTGGCAAGTGTAGCAAGAGCATGCTTTATTTCAGATTCCATGACTTGCTGAAGAGTTTGGGGATCTTCAAGGACATGACGGATAATACTAGCAGCAACACAGTCATATCCAGGAAAGAGACTATTACTCGGCAAAGAAAGCAGTGATCGCACACCTCCGAAATCAAGAAAGTAAACAGCCATAGAATGTGTCCTTGTCAGTGTGGAACAGAGCTGCAGAACAGCGTGCATTGTTTCAGAAGGAAGCTGATTCCGGATGCAGGTACAAGCAATCTCAATAAGCTTCTTTTGATCATCAACATCTACAATCCGTGGAGAACCAAAAGCAGATTGTAACTTGTTTTGTCTGCTCTCATCAATGTTTAAAGAGGTTTCATCCTTCTTCAACTCCTCGATAAGCTCAGTATTTATCTTCTGATCCACTTGTAACAGCCTATCAATTGCAAGAAACCCTGTCGTCACCCACTTTGGAACTTTGCATTTTCCACTGTCAATATTACAGGAGTCCCATTCTGAAAGAACATCACACACAAGTCTTACAACACCAGCCTTCAGTGCAACTTCACGGGAGCCTGCATCTTCATGAAGAATCAAAGCAAGAACGTGCAACAATGCAGAGAGAAGATTGCTCTTTCTGTCATCAGAGATAGGACAGCAACCTTTCACCTGGCTAAGAAGGAAAGATATAACACCAGATCGGTGTTCACCATTGTTTTCAGAGCATATCAACACAAGCAAGTCCCTGACAGGAAAGGCAAGGGGTTCTTTCATCTGCAAGAGCTTCTTACATGTTGTTAAAAGCTCCTCAATGGGTGGCAGCTTAACCATTTCTTGTTCAATTTGTTGACGAGTTTCATCTGCAACATCCTGTTTCGTGTCAGTTTCAGAGTTTCCAAGGGACATAGCAAGAGCACGAGCAAGCTCATCATCCTCTTGGGTTTCTTCTGGATGGGAGAACAGCCATTCCATAGCCAGCTCAACACTGTTCGTTCCAACCTGTCTCAAGGCTTCTTCAGCTCTAGATCTTGTGAAACCCATCTCCACGATTGTTGAAATGGCTGTTTCATTGGGAGGTGGACCTGTGACCCGAGCACTGCCACCGTTACCAAGGACTTTCACTTCAACTCCAGAATACACATGCCTGATTATGGAAATTAGTGTAGTAATATAATCATAACTACAATCAGTAAACTGTGGATGAGTCCAAACAGGAAGCACAGCTTTCAACACCTTGGACTGAAGCATCTTCATAAATGTCTCAGCATCTTGTGGAAATGGAATATCCCCATTTGCTACTGGTTGCACAAGCAAGTGTTTTGTCAGTGGAGACAAAACATAAGATGATGTCACCAAATGGTCCATCAGCTTGCCATAACTAGCCAGAGGACCATATATCCAAGCATGATCCAGATCTTCTTTTTCATCTTGCTTTACTTTTACATCATCAGTCTCCATGGGGGATGAGGGGCTCCTATTAACTGCAAACAAAAGTTGGCTGGTCGCTTCATACGTTGTCAAGACCATTTGAATAACTCCTCGGCTGTAGAAGCAATTTAACAAAACAGGATTACACGAATCAGGTCTGTCGAGAAGGACGGCGTCAATGAAATCAACAACCTTGCCAAGGTAGTGACATTTAGTTGCCACTGATGCCTCAGGAGCAACCTGATGACCTCCAAAATTCAAATGATCTAGGGAAATAGAAGCAAAGCTTGAGGCAACTGACTTAGAGGATGGAGAAACATTTACAGTGTCTTCCCTCCTACGAGATGGGAGCAGCATTGCCTTCCCTAACTCTTGGAACAAGTATGTGATGTGGAATGAAAGTGACCTCACCATATCACAGCAAGATGTATAATAGGACCCATCTTTGTCATGTTCCTTTCTACCAGAAGCCTCTGATGAACTTGGAGGGCCATCGGTTATCGGTCTTGGCTGAAAACCAGTCGATGCACGACCAAGACGGTAAAGATCTATCAGATCAAAGAACTGAGATTCTACACTCCATCCTGCTGTTCTCCTCCGAAATAATGGATCAAGGAACTGTCTAAGAGAATTGAACCTTTGACCTCCAGATTCATTTATACCCAACTCAGCTTGCCCTAACTCGGGAACATTTCCAGCCCGCTCACTGTCGCTATCCACCTTTGCATCCCCAAGAAGTGCAATCTGCCACAAAATTTCACGATGCAAGTGCCCTAAATCTTCTAGGACATTTTTACTCCCATTTCCAAACTCTGAAAGCAATGCACTCATCCAGCGGTTATCTTTCGATGCCGCTAGGAACAGAAGGAACTCAACAAGGAAAAGTGAAGCAAAAATTCCAGCAACTGGAGATTGTTTTGGATCCAACAAGAAAGTCCCTGCAATATCCCCTAGCCCCCTTAAAGCGTTCTTCAACTGATCACGGAGAGCAGAACAGAATGCGCGGGCAAGAGCAGAAGAGTGATGCTGTGTAAATCCCTTGAAGACGATGGAACTATGCAAGGCAATTGAAATGCCTTCAGATGACTGAGCAATGCTAGGCCGTAAAAGAAGTTTCAGTAAAGCCTCGATGCCAGATTTCTCCACAAAGAGACGACAGGTTTCAGAGTTCTCCATTGTTCTATGGAGCAGAACCATCAAATGAAAGATGCAGAGTTGAACAAACTGCTCATGATTAACAACAACTGTTTCCCTTGCTTCTGAATCCATTTCCATTGCAGTAGTCTCGGTGATATTTCCAGATGCTGCCAAAGTGCCACTCTCTCCAAAAGACGCAATTTTATCCACAATTTCTATGATTATTTCAACACCAGTGGCTCTTAAAGAAGAGACATGACGAAGAAGCTCCTCCACAGCATTTGCAAAAGGAACAATGGCCTCATTCATAGCTAGAACATACTTCTTGCTGGTAAATACATCGACAAGGAAGCGCAATGCTGAAGTTTCTTTCACTGCATCTAATCCTCTGCTGTTAAGACAGATAGCACCCAACCCATTCGGAACACATGCAAGCGCCTTTGAAGAAGGAAGTATCCCTGCTACCACTGAAGACAAAAACGCTTCTGGAAGACCCATTTCAAAAAGAGATGTAAGACAGGTAGGATCTTTGTGGATAATATCACTCATGACGGTGACAGCGGAGTAATAAATTTCGCCCCCAAATCTATCTGCACTCCTGTATATCAGAGACAAAGTGGCAGGTAAAGTACTCTCATGAGAACTTTGAGACCTATTAGAATTCCCAGGAGTATATGTCGCAGAACCAAGAGCCTTAAGCAGAACTTTGACAAGTCTCTTTCGGGAGGACAACCGTTCATCATTGTCCCTTGAAGATTCACCAATCACCATCGCACTATCATTCTCCACAGGCAGATCAAGAATGTGATGAACCTCTACCTGTAATCTCTGAGCCAAAAGCTCGACTCCTCCGAGATCTCTGAGTAATGGCACGGCTGAGCTACTATAATCCATGAGCTTTTGTAGAGCTTTAACAGCCAAATATACAAGATGCATGTGACTCGGATCACCATACTCCAAGAGAGGCAGAAACGTGGGAACCATTCCTGAACCCCTAATAGTGCTTCCGGATGATGATGATGACACAATGTGAAGCAAATAAAACTGAAGCAGCGCCTCGACAAAAGCAATAGATGATGGGTCACTTGAGGTTTTCAAAGACAAAACAGCTTTTTGAAGCACGTTGAGAAGAATCATTCGATTGCCTACAGCAAAACTGATGCTAGATCCACTCAAAATCCTGGCACGATCATGAGAAGCTGAGTATACAGCCAATTGAGCTCCCAATGCAAGCATGGCAAGAGTTCTTGTAGTGCCAGGGATTGTTTCCTCAGATCGGACAATCCTGATTAATTCATTTGTATATTCAGGTTCATTTGCAAAGAAAGATGAGAGCTCGTCTTGAGCATCACTAGACTGAACAAGAACAATGAAGGCGAGTAAGCAGATCCTGCTGTACAAACGGCATATTCTGGGTGACCGAAAAGCATGAGCATATCTAATTCGGGTCAGCAGAGAGAATCTAAGCTCCTGAGGAACATTATATTGCTCTATACACTGCTTCATCAACACCAAATCATCCTCTTTCCTCGTGTGTAAGTCAGGAATCTGTATCACCCTTGAACTTGAACTAGAACTAGGATTCCTTCCATCATCAGTACTCTGGGCATTGTGTCCATGCAACTCATAATAAACCGTAGAACCAATTCGATAATCTCCTTCATCACGATTATTCTCTAAAACCGAAGGAAATAAGCTCAGACCTTCCTCTTGGTTTCTCTCATTAGCCACAACACAGGAATACAACCCCAGTCCCTCCTCCTTGCTACCCCATCCTTGAGCAAGAGAAAGTAGGTAGCTGTTTACTGAACCACATCCAATCAACTTTCCACTCCTATGGAGCTTAGATGGGCTAATTTTAACAAGTGCTGCGAGAGTTTCCAAAGCAGCTATGAGAATCTCTGGATCCGTAGATGCGAGTAGGAGTTTAAAGTGCTGAAAAAGACAACCAAAGTCAGATTCACCAGAAATCACAGCATCTAGTTTTCTATTTAAAAAAAAAATAACAGTATTGATGAAGTAAGAATGAGTTCAACTACAATTTTTCATAACTACAGTATGCTTCTGGACTAATTCACATACCTCCAGACCATCAAAAGAGCTCTTGTTGGGACAATTCTCCAGAATTATCTGCATCACCCTAAGTATTTGAAGAACTGCATGCTTTGGAAATGCACTATCATCCTCTAGAATTTTATCGGACAAGAGAAGGTCATTCCTATTGGACAAATATGTCTTGAAGTATGTATCGAAATGTAGAAACAATGGCCTCCAGTGATGAAAATTTCCCTGGATTGAAATAATCCAGTGAGACAGGAAGGGGGAAAAACTTGAAAGAAACCAAATGATTGAGACAGCCAAGTTAATATTACCTTACTGTACTCCCACCGAAAACCAGAAAGAGGTATTGCAATATCCTGCAGAGGACTCTGGATCACTTTGTCAATGAATGCTTTGATATCGGGAGGCTGCAAGTAATGCGAAGAGGAACATATAAGGGCAGAGACGGAAAATGATTGTAATTCAGATTTAATAATATTTTGTCAAGAATACTTGACACAACCAAGATTCTAGGAATTTATGGGAGAAGATAACAAAGCTCTAAACCGCATACCCACCTCACAGAGCATATAACTCCAATCGGTGCAAGAATGAGTCCAATTCGAAAACAAAATCTACAGATTGCTTGCATATGATTGTACTCCACCTAGTAACGGGACACTGTCATCTCACCAGCTGACTATCCTATCCAACTGAAACTACCCTTCGAATTCACTAGTTTCTTTCAGGGCAAATAATCCTAACCAGGCAAATCATGTGAAAAGTCTACAACAATCCCGACCAAGCATCACCTTGAACCAGACTGCGAAAAAGAACCCTATTCAGTTGCAGCTTCAAGATCATACCAATCCTAACACGCAGAGATTACAGCCCTGATCCTAAACCCTGACAGAGTCTTCAGTAAACAACAAAACCCTTGTGATGGGCATAGAAAATAGTCATTCAATAGAACAAAAGACCCTAAATACACATACACCACAACAGGAACCGAAAGAAAAATATTGTCCAGAGAACTCACAGGCTCAGCGTCAAGTCTAATAGACGGTCCGATAGACCCTTCACCCGATAGAAGTTGCCTGAGACGCGACGGCATACTAGACCTTCCCGTCGCCATCTCTCCTCAGACGTTTTTTGTACGGCCGATGTTCAAGCACTACAAAACGAAGGGGGAAAAGGGGGAAACCCCAGAAATTGAGAAGCACGCAAAAGTAATAATCAATCAAAAGAAACAGGAAAATAATCGAGTTCCCAATCCAGGCCGAGTAAATCGAGAACCCTAAATCGGTCTTCGTCCCGACAAAGAAAAAAACAAAAAGCACCCAGATCAGACGTATCTTCAATCCATGTCTACAGACACTACAACACATAATAAATGCGCGGAAACAGAATACCTGAGATGGTGAAGCGGGTGCGTACGCATCTGAAGGACTATGTACCAGTTGTTGTAGAGAGACGATGTATGTATGTAGAGAGAGAGAGGGAGAGAGAGAGAGAGACGACGAGGAGAAGAACAAACCCCAGAGACGGAACGAGAGGGGAGAGGAGAGTGATTTTTCTCTTTAATTAAAAAAAGAGAAGAGGAAGAAAAGGGTTTTTATATATGGGAAAATAAATAAGAACTAATTAAGAAAGAAAATACTAAAGGAAAGGGTTATTTCGGGTGTTTAGGGAGAAGATTAAGAGGTTTAATCAGAGGTTTAAAAATGGACTTAGGGTTCTTAATCCTATTGCTGGGCTCTTCACTTCTGTCGCCACATGGGCCCTTTCTCCGGTCTCCTTAGTTTTATTTATTTTTTAGTATATTTTATCAGAAATATTGAAAAGTATTTATTCATTCCGCCAAAAAAAAATTATATGATTTAAAAAACATAAGATCGGATATATTCTCATGAAAAGAATTTTGTTAATGTTACATACAATTTCTTTAAGTCAAAAACTCGAATCTTCCAATTAGTTTCCCTTTTAATATACACAACAGCCCTCGAATTTTACTTTTTTGAAAATACATAATCACTTGGATTTTATTCCAGAACCAATAAATTTTTATATTTTATTTTATTTTCAATTTGGGCCATCGCCAAGTCTAAGAATATTCCTGGTCCAAACTAACAGTCCATAAAACCCAATTAGTGCAATAATCCTAACCATTTAGACTTCAAAATTTGCATTGGCTTCTTCTAATTGTCATTATCTTATCTTTTCAAATTAAATTATTGAAAACTGTGTTCCATATATAAAAAAGTAAAACATCCTTTCATATGGTTGACGTTTAAGAATTATTTTGCTTTTCATGAGCCTTGTTGAATATTTTCTAAGTTTTTTTTTTCTCTATAATGCGATTTTTCTTGTGTGAAATACAATCATCTTATTGGAAAACTGTTTGTACAACAGCTAAACAAACCTCGTACTTTATTCTAATAAAAGTAAAAAAAAAAATCCAAAGCGAGAAATGATCTTTCGTTGAACGATGAAACACTTAGACTTGGGGCCTGGCTTGAACAACATGAACAGTGCCATCTTTGACAACTCCTTCAATGTCCTGAGGACAACCATAGAGTCTCTCTATGACATCCCCTGTCTCTGCAATTCTTGAGAACAAAGACACTTGAAAAGCCTTGTCTGTTACAAGCCTCTCCTTTGAGTAATCAAGCACAACTTCATTGGCTTCATCCATCAGAACACTGCATAGAAGAAGATTTTCAGTAGACATATATACCCACGCACAGAGAGAGAGAGAGAGATCCCGATTCCCGATATCGAAAAAAGATGTAAGGAATGGGCGAAAAGAACAAGCCTGTCGTAAAGTCCAGCGCCTGCATAGCCTTCGAGATCTTCGCTGTTCGAATCCGATCTGAATATAATTGATGGTTTAGAATACAATCCTATCCGCTTACTCGGGTATGTGATGACCTGCAACCACAAGTTCGAGCTCAAGTAATTAGTATCAGAGCTATAGAATATTCTAGAAAATTATCAATAATTAATATTACGTATTATTTAGATTTGTAATAGATACACACTCGATGAACTCTCTCGACATGTATACCGATCTAGCAAGTGTATAGCTACACGGCTTGATGATTGTATTGGAGTAAGAGATGTATGTAATTCGATTCTTACGGCTGGAGATCTCAGATTCGTTTTCTTGGTGATGAAGCTCATTGCTCGCCCGGGATACGCTCCGACTAAGGTCTCCCCCAAACCCTTGACAATCTGCAAACGAAAAATCAAAGCAACAAGTATAAAATGCTTAAGATATTCGGTTATATTGCAAAGACCAACAATGGAGAAAGTTTTTTTTTTTATCGACACCTCTGTGTATATCTCCGAGGAGTCTCCGGAGATGGGATTGTTCGTGTGAATGACGAAAGCATAATCGCCACAAATGGCTTCTTGAATCAGAACAGCCATGGAGACGGCATCGTGGTTAAGCTTAGTTTTCTTGCAACTGAGGTAAGCTCTCTCGTTCCATTTCGAAGCCCAAACCTGTAATAATAGACGGTCTAGCACTTGAATCCTTAGTTTAAAACAAATCTACCGGAAAGCAATTTTCTAGTTTTTTACCTTCTTAATCGCCAGCCATGAACGATTCCAGCTCGCTTCATCTCCAAACCATGGCATTCTTTCACTTCTTATTCTGTTCTTGAGCTCATTCATCTATGACAAAACCCAAAAACACGGCGTGTGAGAGAACAGAAAAGCTCGTATAAATCGAACTATGCAAGAAACGATACTTATAAATGCGGCATTTTTTTTAAGTTATAAGTGTTTACCAGAGCCATTGGGGCGGTCATCTGTAGAATAGCTTCTTGAATCGCTTTGAGTTTTGTCAGGTCTCCTCCATTGATAGCATTTTTTAGTGTCTGAATCTTATTCGCTACATCCTGAAAACCCGTTGGATCGCAGAACTTATTCTTACAGACATAACATACGAAGTTTAAGGATCAAGAGTTAATACCGAGTTAACTGTATATAACGGATGGTTTAATAGCAGTTTGCTTAGTTTGGTGACCGATCAGAACTAAAGTTTGATATACAAAAAACAAACAGTTGCAAAAGGAGGATATAACCCATTTCAGAGGAGAGAAATCGATTCACCTTATTGGCATTGTCTGACAGAACACTCTCGAATGACCCAAATGGAACAGCAATCGACATTGGAATCTTGATCCACGAGGGGACCTTTCCTCTTAGAAATTTGATATTGCAAGATTTCGAACCGACCTAACAGACGTTATCGGAATCAGGCAAATAAATGTGTCATGAATTAGATTATTTTGTGAACATGAACTTGTTTTTACTTACCCTTTCACTAGTAAACTCCTCGAGTGATATCACATACTTTCCGCAAAAACTTTTCCCCTTATATTCCTCTGGGCCTGAAGTAATATGAATGATACGTACGAAATCATCGGAGCTGATCCCGTCACTGCAGCAGGCACAACAAGATTTCCCGAGGGGTAAGAAAAGCTTTTCATTACCCATATTAGTTAGACTAAACTGTATTGAAGCCGAACCAAACAATTAGATTACCTGATAACTAAATCTGTGGATTTGGTATGAATCGATATTGCTCTTCCTTCCTTCGACTTGAGCTTCCAGAAAACATGCTGATCGAAGCAAGTAGCAAAGCATATCTGCAACAGAACACAACATCCTGAGATAAGAATCCGATTACGAGTTTTTTATTACAAACAAAGAAACAGACAAACGGGTACTTAACCTTGCTGTTTCTTGCTCTAATGGAGACATGAGAGAGCACATCAGGCATACTCGGAGTCAGTACAGCGACAACTCCGTCGGGAATCTCCTCTTCTCCGGACACTTTGTTTGCTACTATAACAGTCGGTTTCGAGTAGATTTTGTTCTGAACTGTAATAAGCTCATTGACACAAACCACAAAACCTGATGCATCTGCTGAGCTGATTATTTGCCAACTGTTGAACCCGAAAAATAAGGTTTAGAGCAAAAAAATACACAAAAAAGGGTTCATTTTCAATGCGGAAAAGTATGTGCACTCTTTGATTCTAGGAAGAATCAAAGATGTAACTTTGGCTGCAACAGAAAACTTACCAGCCTAAGTTTGCGATTTTTCTAAGAACAGGATCGAATCTATTAATAAGTGTCGACAGAGCAGCTCCTGGTCCTGCCCTTATGACCTCTTCAGTGAAAACATTGATCTGGAAAAGAAGATAAAACCTGATGAATCGATAAATCAACTTTTAAACTTCATATAGTTAAACAGATTAATAACTGAGTATACCGCATGTTTATCAATACACAATGAGTGACCAAGATATTCTGCAGTAGGCTGTATTGTTCTGTAATAATTCTGACAATTATCCGCAAGTATTAGTTGTAAACGGTCAAGAACTGCTTTCGTTTGTAATGCCCACTGAACATCATTAGATCGGTAAGTTTCGCTGACTCGGTGCCAGTCCTGAACGCGAAAGGAAACCCATTATCGAAATTTCGAAAGCCTTGAGAAAACTTACAAGGCGAAAAGAGTGAAATGAAAAAAATCATACCTTTGTGCAGTAGATGATCTCTTCATTGTTAAATGTAGATAAGCACAAGTTTTCGAGCACCAAAGAGATGAAAAACATAATTTCCTGCTCGTGAAAACATCAAACCTTCAGGGAAACGTCCTAAAACTTGGGTACAACGAAAGAGAATCCTTTTCGACACCGTACCGGAGGATTACTGAAATTTAGAGATCTGAGTCTTTTCTCTATAGTTGTTCTCACTGTTGATTCCAACGCTATGTCAAGAAAGATCAAATCTTTTGCTCTTGTGCGAGGTGCCCGTAGTGCAGGGTGTAGCTCAATACGAGCTTCGAGTAGTTTCTGTAGAAACCAGTAAACTAAAAAATAAGTAGGGTTCATAGTCTTAACTCTGACGAGGAGCAGAAGGGATAGGAAAGAAAGACGGAGAAGAAGAATTAAATAGAACCTCCAATAAGGGATCAAAGTTCTCGTCACGGATATGCCTCTTGACCAAACTTAGAGAATCCTATTGATACAATGAAAAGAGTGGATCCATCAATCAAGTTATGAAGCAACTTTTGATGTACAATTCAACGAATACATGGTTGAAAATGAGTACCTGCAATTTTGGTGATAGCCCATTGATAGTCAAAGCATTGTGACCCTGGAAAAAAAGAAGAAGCTATGATTACCGATCTCATGGGTCAAGAAAATCCCGAAGAAGGTGTTTGACCAGGAGAAACTTACCTTAGAAGGAGAAAGAAAAGTTTCGACAGCAGATTCGAGGTCTGCACCCGAATGAACTGCCTGGAAATGCAGATACAAACAATGAAAGATTACTAAAATGTCAGACTAACTAAAGCCTAGAATGAAACAAAAATTTGTCTTGGAGTCGAAACAAGAGCCCTCATGAAATGATTTAGCCGAATACGCAAACTAAGTAGATGTCTATCCATGATACCGCACTGCAAAATCGTACCTTTAATGTCTTCAAATACATCGTAAGATCACGGATAAGGCCTTCTTTAGCATCGCTCCTAAAACGAGGTTCTGATAATATAGGACGGTCATAACTTGAGAGCTTTTCTTTCGTGAGACCGTTAGCCTTTAGTGTTTGCCAGTAAGCATCAATCCTAAAGTCGGACCTCACATAGTTTAAGAGTGCCTAAAACAGAAGAACATGACATATGAAGAGGTTTTCCAGCTATACTCTATAGAATCTCGGGAAACGACTAAAACAGCTAAGAAAAACGACACTTAGATAGAGGTTATGACATTTCGGATTTACAAAAGGTATGGAACCAAGTATTATACATACCTCGCAAATTATCACATCATCGGCACTGCTATTATTGTGCAGCTTTTGGTGCCACTCCTCCATCATACCGGTCTTGCAGTCATTATTTCTCTATTCCAATTACAAAGAAACATAACTTACTGTAATATCGAAAGAAAATTTTGTCTTTTCAAAGATTTGAACACAGTAAGTACCTGAATATCGAGGATTTCATCACGGATTCTCTGACCAACATCACCTTGACCTCCACGCCCCACGAGTGCCATTATTAGTCTCGTGATTTCTCTCTTATTCGGTTGCATCAAATATATTCTCTCCAGCAAATTGGTGAATCTTTCTAAAGCTTCACTGATTTCGCTGGACAAGATAGAGATAAGTAGTTATGGAACAAAGAAATTCCACGTATACGCTTCATCGAGAAAGATAAAAGGAAGCAATAAATTTACCGAGGTTTCACATTATAATTCTTGTTCCATATGAGATGTCTAGTGGCCATATATCTCATCCAGACCATAATACTGATAAGTCCCCATACTCCTTCATCTTTACAACGCTCAGTAAACTCAGTTGCGATGTTGAACCTGTCAAACTAAGTGTATGAGTAAATATAATTGGCATGAAATCGCTCCACACGAAGGCGATTCAATAAACCTCAATCTGATGCTTCCACTTACCGGTGCATCAACGATCTCTCGGCCTCTTTTTCCCGCTGAGCAATTTCATTGAGCAACCATTTGAGAATATGTTTTCCATCCGCGTTTATCTGTGCGAAGATCCATATGTTCGATGATGAAACGTCAAGAATTAGCACATCGATTCGTGAAAATACATCATTTTCTTAATCCTGCAATGATCAGATGAACTTACATTCCCACCAGAATCTGATGATTTCATGTTTACAGAGAAGTTGGATCCATTGTTATTAATCCAAGAACCACTTGACCATATCACAAATTGGATGCCAGCGAAACCTCCTCGTTTAAAGTTTATATCCACGAACTTTCTCGATGCAAAAAGACAGAACGCATTAGCAGAGTGAATCGTCGTTTGAGATGAGAAGAAAAAAAGGAATGGAGAAAATATCACACAGAGTCTCACTTGATAAGAACCTTCACGACTCGAGATATCCGTAAAATGAGTCTGACATGCTCCATGGACCATTTTCGATTTCTCGGGCACCACATCAGGAGGAGGAATCTGTTGCCAGTTTCTGAAAAACTTCAGTTTCCTATCGATAAACAAAAAACGAGAAATCATCATCGACAAAATCAAGAACGAGGGTTCGTACCAACCACTCTCTCAATGAAGACTTTGCAACGCCCCAATGAAGAAAGGTTGAGCCTCTCATGTTTGTGGCGATCAACAAGCGACAATCACCTCTAATATTTCTCTGGAAAACCTATAAACAATTGTATAATACTTTTGAAAAGCTCATGAACATGAAATTCACAAGAATTCGATACCGTTAGCCGAAAAGATGTCGAAACGAGAAATACTAACCACTATTTCATGATTTCTGACATGAAAACTTTGCTGTGAAACTATATTTTCTGCACTTCTTTTTACTAGATCTACGAGTGACGAGATTGACACACTTCCAGATTTGTTGAGTGGCTCTGCATATTTCTGCAACCATTTCTGAACATCATGCTTCCGCCGGTATGATGATGGAGGCAAGTATCCAGTTTGATTCCGTTCGTTGCTCATCGGTCTTCGATCTTTAATTGTATCTTTATTTTGAAGCTCGTCTAAAGACATTCCTTTCGCCAGCTCTTCCTGAAGCTCTCTTACTGCAGCTTCATAGTCTTGCTGCAGCAAAACACAAAAAAAGTATAAAAAACACGAATTGGTCATCACAAAGGATCAGTGAATAAATACACAGATGGGGCCTCCAGAATATAAAGGGGTGAGCAAAACAAAGCCAAGGAATCACCTGCTGTTCATGTGGAGAGTTTCGGGGTCTGCCCTTCCGTTCCCATATCTGATAAGCTCTGTGATCTATCAAATTCTTCGGTATTAGATGACGAGAACTTTGCAGATCAATCTGAGGAATATCGATACGGAAATTCCCGTCGTGAAGCTTCAACCTGGGCATGAATCAAGATCAAGACATCCATGGCGATTACTTCGTTGATCAGTAAGAAGCATGGCATAGTAAAAATGAAGGAAAGAAAATACACTACCATCTGTTATGACTACCATCCTTCAAAACAAATTCGATGGCACGTACTCGTGGATCCCGGAGCTCTAGGATCAGTACATAAGAATCTCCACTCTGAAGTTGAAACCAGTTTTTGAGAACAAGAATCAAATTTCCAGTTCTTGAAAAGGATAAACACAGAGAGAGTGTAGACATGAAACCAGATGTTAAACCTTTACAAATGGTGACTGCAATGCCCCTTGCCTCGAGGAATGTTCAGACGGGACAAACCAGCTGCTGCGGGTAACAGAAGCGAAGAAAACACGGTTATTTGGAATAATACGACATCTACGAGAAATGGATTTGATCACATCTCGAAATATTTTCACTCACTTGTTCCCTTGGTATATGCAACCCCAGTGAAGAATCCATGTCCGGTTACAATTCTTGAGACGGAAATCAGCTCTTGCAAGGCCATTTGAAGAGCCAGAGACAGTGATCTGAACAAACATGATGAACAAAAGTTAGATAACCTCGAAAGAGACAACCTAAGAAAACGATACAATCCGGACAGAGACCTGAAGCTCCATCCCTTCTGTTAGCTGGAATCTGTAAAATTTCGGGGTGGCCATGGCTCCTGATCATAGAGAGAGGGAAGAAATAAACCTCAAGATTAGGCCAAACCCCTGTGAATAATTTCAGAAAATGCAAACTCATAACTCAATCCAAGTCCAGATTGGTAAAATAATGGCCATTACCGTCTGCTGGAAACCACTGAAGAACACCTACGGGGCGGATTGCAAGTGGGTAGGCGTATTTATAAAGCCATTTCGACAGATTCTTTCTTCAGGGCACCAAAAAAAAAGTCAATCTTTAATCTGTCTATTCCATCTGTTTTACCTTTCCACAGTTCCTTCGAAATCCCAAAAGCTTATTCAAGCTTCATAAATGTCCACTCTACTTGATGTTCACAACAAATGCATTGCTCCTAAAGTCAGTGGAAAATATGATTAATCCAACCGCTACAACGTAAGAAAGAATTTCAGAAAGGAAAGAATCTGTTCCATTTTTTTTTTTTTTTGTGACAGGAAGCTAAAATGATCCTATTCACTTGCCACTCACCAGGAAAATAAAGTTGCCAACTTGAAGAATGAGCATATCGGACAAGAGATGATAACGACAGTATCAAGTAACGTGTCCCATCGATCCTGCACTTCAAAGTCAGAATTACAGAAGCGGTAAAGGAACTTCTCTGAAAGAAACTTGCAAAAGGAATCGTATTCTCTTCCACCTTTTCTGAAGGAAGGTTGCCCAAAAGAACCACAGAGGATATATATATATGTATATATATATATATATATAGAGAGAGAGAGAGAGAGATTAGAGTTCATCTCCTAAAGCCACAAAAAAGCTTCGATTTGTCACTCAAGAAATTCTAAGAATAACCAAAAATCGAACCTAAAAACGTTTAACTCAACTGATTCTAATATAAATAACTCCTCCAACATCTCAGTTTCCAGCTTTAACACGTGATCCTTGTAAATTCCTATGAATAGGCATAGCTTTGACACAAATCAGTTCCACTGAGGAAAATGCTTTGTCCAAAACTACAGAAGCAATTAGCCAAATCCACAGATCAAATTGAGCGTTTGGGCATTATACCCTTCACAGATTCAGAAAATGTTGATTTGCACAAAGTGTGTGGAAGTCTCTAGATTTCTTACAAAATAATTGACATGAATGAATCTGATAGCAACAGAGTTAGAAAACAGTGTCACAAAGTCATAGACCAGAGACCTTCTCATAGCAACAGAATGTCTCAAGATGTTTGATTTAAATAATAGGCTAAAATTTGATTACTTTTGACTTTTGAAACAACCATTTGAACTCAACAATGTATCTGAATGCAGAGATTACATAGTGAAATTATGAAATCTAATACAACAACAAGAAATATTCAACAAATAGAAAGACTGAAATGCATCTCACTGTGTCAACAGCTTTGAGTCGCATGCAACTATTTTCACCCGGCTTACGTTCTCCAGATGATCCTCGCTCTTGAACATCGCATCCTGTAAGATGAAGGTCCAGACGTTGTCGCAGAATCTGTAAGTGTGAAGGTGCCCCTGTAGAATGCCAAATAAAATAAGGAAGTAGCTGAATTGCATTCAACATTCTTGAGATCAGATGAGAACAGAATCATCGAAGCACGGAAAAGTGTCATCAAGCAATGATAAAAGCAATTATATGGCTACACTTTGCTGCTTTAGCTTCTATTTGCCACCGAAATTTGAGTACCTCGCAGGGCAAACAAGAAGAAGTTTATCAAGCATAAACCCAAATACTTGTGGAAAACTGTGGCAAAACCTAACCTAACAAGATGATTTGTCAAATTCAAAGAGAAGAGAGTGAAACCAAATTTGTAGAACAAAAAAGGATAGCACGACAGAGAACTTTTCCAATTAAGTCAAACAAGAAGTTATAAGAGAAGGCTGCCGAAAATCATTATCCAGACCACAAAAAAAAAGACATGGGAAAAAGAAAGAAGTTTCCTGTGATGTATAGTATCATGTAAACTCCTAATTGTCAAGGAGATGACCAAATTAACACATTTCAATCTCAAATGAACTTTTCTAATTATCTGTAATCAGTAAAAAAAAGGAATATGACCGAGTCAACCTGCCAAAGGTATATCACATCGGAAGAAAACACCGACACAATTCATGACAATAATAATGGTAATAGCTATTTCTTGATGTAACAATTTACTCCAAACGAGAGAAACTAGCAAATACCAACATTACTGGCTCCAAATGTGCGCTCCAAACCAACTAATACCATGAAACAAGCGAACCCTTCTTCAACAGGTTCGAATTGCAAATGAAAGTAAACAGACCGAGGGCCATAATATCAGAAAAAAAAAATCAGAGCATGGTTCTTCCTCTACCTCCCAAACGCACATGACAATTGACAACCAGCCGCTACAATTTCTAACACTCAATCATCTTTCCTCCCACTACACAAACAAACAAACTGGCCATGTTCTTCTACTCATTTTCCGTTGATTAAGTGTCAGCATTGCACAATGCACTACCAATACCCATAAAAAGCAGTAAATACAGAAAGTTCACCTTGACGGAGACCTTGGTCTTCACCTGGCTTTCCAAAGCTTCAGTCATGGACTACATAAATAGAGGAATCAGGAAAAGCCCAGCAACCAATTAAGATGTCACACATCATCTAAGAGAACAGTTAAAATTTCACCTTGTCAAATTGGACAAGAACTTGAATCGCAAGCTCGGGGCTCAGGGTGCTACTCTGAACCATCTCGTCCAAGGTCTCCGTCAAGCACATCCCGATCGTCGATCTCCTGTACAGCTCGAATGTCGCCATTTCTACTCCCCAAATGCTATAAAGATCCAAATTCGCGCTTAACACATAGCCGATTCCCAAATTCGACAGCAAAACAATACATCAGAAACGGAGGATTTCATTCCGATACGAAATCGGCTGAACAACAAAACTCGAAACCAGAGTGGAGAAGTAAGAACCAGTTACCGATAGCCGGTGACGTCGAAGAAGAGATCGATGAGCAGTCGCCGGAGCTTCGGACGGATGACTTGTTTCCCTTGGGCGGATAAAAATGTCGGTGCTTTTATACCCTAGCTTTTGCAGGTGTCAGTATATATACCCGCGATAGATCGGGGAGGCACGAAATGACGCTTTTACCCTTACTTTGTTTCTTGTAAGTTAACCCACCATACCAGATTCATGGGCCAAAGTCCACCGGCCCAATGACTAAGGCTTTAAGATGATAAGCCCAAATGGTTGCTTTTCTAGGCTTCGGAACCCAGACGCATATATCTACAATTACTCTTTCATCCTTACAAGTTGTCCGAATTATCGATTTTGGTAGTAGAAATTTTAATTGGTTTGGATACCGTTTTCGATTTTTGTTAAAAGTATATTTTAAAAAGAACAGAAATTTTAATTGATTTGTTTCGGAATTCATTAGAATTTTTTTTTAGAAAAAGAAATATTTTGTTATTCTTTTTTGTGTATTTCAATAGGGTCGCATTCAATTAAATTTGTTTGGATAAAAATCGTTTCCAAACGATTTATGAATGTTAGCAAGTTCCATGGATTAGGGTTCAATGGGCCTAGACTAAAGGCCCAAAGGCATAAAGAAATTTTATAATAACAGCATCTTTTATAAAAATATATGCTAGAAACATTTTAAAAGAAATTCGATGATTCAAGCTCCAAGTTCGAACCATCGTTATTCAATATAAAACATTATCATATTGGTCGCATAATTCAAACCAGCAGGTATAGTAGAAGGGAGAAGAGAGAAAATATCCCATAAGTGGGCCAAAGAGAAACCCTCGAGTCCATCTCACATTCTCAAAATCTTCGGGTACGCATTTTCGTCATTACTTTGTAATAACCATCCAAAAAATATTACAATATATTTCGAAGCAAGAACACAAAAAATACACGAAACAACAGATTGAAGCATCGGAATTCTCCTCGGAGTGGACAATAAACACAATTTCTCGGTTGGTGTTAGTCAGCATTGTAGTTTTACCTGTTTTATGTTGTGAGAGCGTCGGGGAGGGTAGTTCGGGCACCGAGAATCTTACCTCCGACGTCAGGAAAGGTATCGAAACCCGGCAACGGGGTAACTTTGCCGGAGATGTCGACGGAGAGAGGGTATTTGAGGAGGTGACCTTGCAACGGTGTGAAGTTCTCAGCTGTGTATTTGTTCCAGTTATCTTCGGCTATTTTGTTCACTTTGGTCACGCAATCTATTGTCTCTGGCTCCTTGAATGCATCGTCCACTGCTCCCATATGCTCCGCCCACAACGACATTCGATACCCGTATACCTGTATGTATGTATGTATGTATGTATGTATATGTAGATATATGTTATAGTTGGTTTCAAAATCCGATTGTATCACACATGAAATTAAACCAAATGAAACTTTTCAATTTTGGTTTTGTTTCGGTTGATTTCGGATTTCGCTATTTTCCAATAAACTTTCGATTGGGTTCGGCTCATTGAAACCGAAACAAAGCTTGTCTAGTCTCTGATTGAGCCAGTTCACCGAGGTTACGCTTTATGGTTTTCTTATGTGGGTAAGAACAGAAAGATTTTTACTTCAATGCACGTTTTGTTTGGCTGCCATGAAAACGTTTATTGCTTAGGCTCCCTCTTTGTGGGTGTTGGCGTTGTGTGAAATCGATTTTGAAGATTAATATTAATCGGAGAAAGGACTATTGTAGATGAGAGAGAGAGAGAAACCTGGCCACGAGGGTGTTGTTTTCTGTGATTCCACGTCTGGAGAGGTTGATATGCTCCCATGGCGATCTCTGTGTCCCGAGAACCTGCCAATGATCTCTGGTTGATATTAGCCGAGCCTAAGAGGACGTACTCATCGTCTACCACCATTCCCTTTGCATGCACGTATATCATAAACCTCTGTGACTTTTGAGAAGCTGAAACCTGAAAATTCGGTGGTGAAGAACAATTTATTTCATACTTTCAGAAGAAAAAAAAAACAAAAAGGATATTGGAGAAATCGATGATGAGGGTGAAGAGTATTTTTAACCATCTCGCCGCTGTTTGAGGTGGGTTTTGCATCTCCTACTCGCTGCTCTCTGTTTCCTAGACAATAGAAGTTTAGATAGTCTTGTGGGTGAAAATTTTCGACGTGCATCGCTCGTATTTCCCGTGCTATGATCTCGTACATCATTTGCATTGTTTGTCCCTACAAGAGAACAAAATTTGCAAGGAAAACTCCTGAGATCAGCAACACACTAAAGATGCATTTACAGAGATCAATGACAACAGACGAAGTACCATCTTGTCAAGGTTTTAGAAAAGCATTCGGGTTACCTGCCAGTAGAGAATTTCTTGGACAGAGGCCGAAGAAGGGACTCCTTCGGGCCACATTGGGATCACGATATAAACCGCAAACCTCTCTTTCGCTCGTATCTTACTCGCAATCTTCAGTGCCAGTTCCATGGGAATCAGATTATCAGCACCTAAGCGTTAAAAAAGAGACAGATGAAGTTTTGGAAAACACGAGATAGAAGAAGAAAAAACAGGTGTTACAAGCAACACAATCTGAGTTGTGTTGAGGTCATGTACCTGCTTCTTTGTAATTAGGCCATGCGTATGATGACCCGAGGAAGTACTGATTCTCGATATATATGAAGTGTTGGGCAGACCTAATTGCTTGGATATATGCTGTTTGAATACTTTTATCGATCACCAAATTCTTCGCGCAGATGAGATTCTACCATGAAGAAATGGAGGAATACAAGAGAAGCAATATTGTGAATATTTGGGTTAATATATGGTAGATGGAAAAGACAAATCGGGTTGATCAAGTGGTAGAACCTGCTCCTCGGCTTTAAAAACATCTTTTGGAAATCCTTTCACGGATCCTGAATCTATAGAACGGAAGACCTGTTTGCAAACAGTAGGTATCTGTGTTGGTCTCGACAAAATGCAGTGGCAGACTATACATTCAGGGGAATGATTGGTACCTGAACATGCCAGTTGTGTGGCTCTCTCTCATTTGAGACCCATAAGGAGGGATCGTCGACTGGGGTTGATGCGGAAGGACTGAGAATCCACGAGATGCGTTCGAGTTTGATCAAAGCATCGTCATGCCAGCGAGTCACCCTCTTGAATTTCATTCCAATCTCTGACCATCTTGTGGCTTTTCTCCAACGCTGCTCGAAGTTTGTGAGGATATCATAAGCTGCAGGGCCTTCGACCTTGCAGTGAAGATCATGCCATGGTTGTCTAGGGGCTCTGGTTCCTGCCTGCCAATTCAGCGTATGGAAACACATGAGCACGGCAAATTGATGTTACAACTTACAACGTCAATTCTTGAGCAGAGAAAATGGCCACAGACTGACCGAGAATGTAGGGTTGTGATAATCGTCCTGAAATACGGTGTCGAGGCCCTTAAAGAGCCTGTGTTCAGGGGTGTCATAGCGGCCATCGCAGAGATCAAGACCTCCAATAAAAGCAGTGATCTTTCTGTTGTTTCCCGATGCCTGCGTGTCTACAAGCACGCATTTCTGGTGATGCGTGAAAAGGGTTCCCACAACCTAGAGCAATCCAGAATCATCATCACAAAATTATCCTCACATAGAATCCACGTGCAAGCCAAGCAATGTTATAGTCATTATTCCAAAACCAATAGCAATAACGAAATCATAGCACAAAGCCTGCCTGCTGCTTGAAAATGCTAAGCTTACTACTGGCATAGCGCGGCGACAGCACACATGTAACCGAAGAATGCTTGAAGAACTTTCGGGTTTCTTCATCATGTGTTTGCATCACTCCGGCCTGCAACCAAAACCCCATTTTCAAAATCAACGTCCCCACAACCTAAACCCCAGGTTTACACAACCACAAGCCAAAAACAATCAATACCGTGTTGATGAAGAACTTGCTGTGAGAGGTCTTATCATCCCACACCAATAACAATACCCTCACACCTTCCTGCGATTTATACTTCAACAGATCACCGAGGCTCAAATTCCCACCGCTCGGAAGCGGCCGCGTCGGCTCACGAACCAGCTTCACCTGGTGAAAAATCGACCAACCTACGACGTAAACCAGATGGTGAGCCTCCAAAATTGCGTGGCAAATATCTTCCCAGCATCTCTCGTGCTGGTAAAGGACACCGTCTTCAAGCTCGATCTCCGGCATCTCCTCAGGCACGTGCGCGTCCTGGTACAGAGTCACCTGACCCCCTGGCCTCTCCGGGAAATAGCAATTCGCCACTCCCAAAGACGTGACCCCGCGTGTGTAGAGGGCATTGCTCTCGCATGGCACGAACCGCATCTCCAGACGAACCGCCGAGTCCGGCTTCGGCGGGTTCCCGAAGGTCCCGATGATCGGAAACCAGTCGCTGATCAAATCGCCGGATCTAATCTTCACGGCGGATACGGATGCGACTCCGATCAAATCAGCGCCGAAGACGTCGTTGTCCTTGACGCAGAACTCAATCTGCGAAACCGGGTGCGCAAGGGGGATTTTGAAATTCTCGTTCCAAACAGGGGACTGAGAATTCGAGATCACACGTGTACGCGCCACCGTTGCTCCGGCGAGGCAGACGGTGACGTAGGGATCGCTGGTTATTATGTTTTTGTTGTGCTTCCGTATCCGGCTGTTTTTCGTGGAGGAGCAGGGTTTCCGGCAAGCGTCGAACGCCGTGAAAATGCGACGGATCCGTTCGGAGAGGAGGTCCATGTTTGGCAAGCGACGAGCCTCAATGATTCTAAGCTCCAGATCTCCATGGAGGTAAACCAACGTGCTATTCTTCTCGTCCGCCATTGTTGTAGAAAATCTGAAGCTAACCCAAAAAACCAAAAAATAACAAAATAAAATGGAGAGAGATTTTTTGGATCAAATAAGAAGACGAAGATCGATGCGTGAGTTGTCGTCGGAAAAAATGGAGGAGTATCAATTGAAAATGTTTGTTGTTTCCGTTTCTCCGACGAAGCCAACGGAGGAAAACCGAAGGCCAGGAAGGAGAAACAGAACAATAAAGAAAAAAAAAAGGAAACAATTGAGGGAAAAAAAACTATTAAGGATTGTGCGTTAAGTCCTGGAAGAAGACACGTGGCAGGACGGTTTGAAAACCGGTAAAGGTTACAAGAATCCGGATTGTGTGGGTCAGCTACCTTTTTTAACACGAACGTTTCAATGATACAGTTGATAACGTGTTCCTGATTTATTTTTTTAAAATTTAGAAGTACACTTATCTCTAATTATTTTTAAATTCAATTAATGTTTTACGATTTATTTATAAATCACGTTAAATATCTTAACAACATTACAAAAATTTAGAAAATTCCAATTCACCATCGGCAAAATATAAATAATATCCTCTCTTTTCAATTTTGACTTGTAGTACTATCTTCTAAAATCTCAATTTTAGAAAGAAAAAAAACTAAAACAAATAAAAGACGTTTTTATCTCCATTTTAAATCGTATAAGACAACATGTGACAAAGACAATGGACTGAAAGAAAAAATTGTTCAAACTCAAATAACTATTCGAAAAAATAAAAGAAAATCATTCGACATTCGAATCAATTTTATAAAGAAAATAGGCCATATTATCTCAATAGAAAATTTTACAAGGTGTTTTCTACAATAAATACAACTGAAATGGCTGCATCTTCTAAGTACAAAAGTCGAATGGGCCGCCCAAGTAATAATAGTAAGTTAAATTATGATTTTCGATTTGATAAAAATGAATAATGTGTATACTATTAAATAACAAAAGTACCCTTACTTTTGTGCGTTATCTTTTAAAACTCTAGAGTTTTGAAAAAAAAAGCAAAATATATAATTATCCTTTTACAAAAAACACTTAACAGAATATAAAACAACCCATATTCCCACTAATTTTGGATTGTTTTATATTTTGGTTTAGTTTCGATTTGATTCGATTTCGGTTTTTATTAATAAAAATTAGATCTTTTTCGGTTTTTCGGTTTTTTTAGTTTGATTCGATTGTGAAAAAATCGATTTTCTAAAAATAATGTCGTTTGATAATTTTTGGACCGTTCAATTCAGAAAAATACCGTATTTTTTTATTCGATACCATTCGATTTCGAATTATCATAACGAAACGCTCGCCCCTACTATTAAGTAGTAGTAGTAGCTCGTTCAATCTATTTACCATTCCATGTAAACGAAACAAATGCCATGGAGAAACACATCAAATCCATGCATAAATTATATAGTCATACATTGGTTTATGTCTCTCTCTCTATATTATAAAAATAATTACATGTGTTAGTAGTTGCTTCCATTATCATGACAGCAAGGGCTATTGGTCTATCAAGATGGAAATGCAAGAACAACTCCTTTTTCTTTGAGCTTAGCTTTGATATTATCGTGGAGATAACCTTTTAGATGGATTATTAATTATTTTTATTTATTAATAATATCATGATTAACCATGATTTTTCGATGGACCATGAAAATTGATACTATTTAATTATATTGTTAATTTTTGATGGGGGCTTTTAAGCCATCGGTATTAAATCACTTCACCAACTTATGAAAATGGCCCAGTAGTGGGTGGCAAGGTGGTGTGGGTATGCCCATTAGCGCTCCACAATCACCATTCGAATCCCGCACTCGGTAATCACCAATACCAAAAAAAAAACTTATGAAAATGAAAAAGCAAAATATTTATTACAGGAGATATCACCAAAAAAATATGTACTCTTCACACGTCGATAAAAAATTTTGTAATTTTTTCTTTATTAATTAAACCCTATCTTACTATGATTAATCTATAAAATCCTAAACTTTTTAAAAATTAATCCGAAAAATCTCGTATTAGACAATTCAAACAAAAATGATGATGTGACAATGACTATATTCCAAGTTATGCACATATCAGCATAATTGTATCATATCATCATTTTAAACAAAATTTAAATTGAGAAATTTATTTAGATTAATATATACATACAAATTCACATATACATATATATATATTAAAAATAAAATTAATTATAATTAATAAAACACATATATATACATACAACATATATGTATATTATAATTAATATATATACATACATATATATTAAAATATTTACAATTAATTTTATATATATACAACACATACATATATAACTAATATTCATATTAAAATAGAAGTAATTATAACTAATATATATACATACAATATATATATATTGTATGTATATATATTAATTATGCATACAAAATATACATATACAACTAATATACATATTATAATCAAAGTAATTATAACTAATATATATAATATATATATTAAAAATAATATGTATATGTATATATTAGTTATAATATAATTTAGGGAGAATCGCTGTAAAATACCTGTACTTTTCTCTGGTCTCAATTTAATACATGTAATTTTTTAATTACTGAATAATACCTGTACAATTGGTTTTTCTCTAAATAAATCTTATACTTTTAAATTATTGGTCAAAAAATATCTACCGTCACGTAAACCGACATAAATCCTACGTGGCGGCGAAATTCTCAACCTCTCTCCTAATCATCGCGCCATGTGATCGCCACATCAGAAATTAAATAAAAAATAAATAAAAAAATAAATTACTTAATAATAATAATTAATTAATTAAATAAAAATCATAAAATAAATAATATATATATATATACACATACACATATATATACATATATGTATATATACATACATATATAAATATATACATACACATATATACATATATATACATACATATAAACACACATATATATACCATATATAAATATATATATACATACACATAAATATACATATATATGAATAATAAAAATATACATATACATACACATATATATACACATGTACATATACATACGTATATAAATATACACATCCACACATATATATACATATATATACATACATATATTATCTGGTCACACTAGTCACACTGTTGTATTAGATGGTCACACTGGTCACACAATTAAAAATTTACATTGGTCACACTGGTCACATTGGTCACACTAGTCACACTGGTCACACAAATAAAAATTCACATTGGTCACACTAGTCACACTGTTATATTATCTGGACACTAGTCACACTGTTATATTATCTGGTCATACTGGTCACACTAGTCACACTAATATATTACGTTATTTTACAGCACTTGGATGAAGCTATACTCGATATTCGGAACCGTCTGACCAAGAAACGCATTCAAACAACAAAGAAGTTCATGTTTGGTGATACGAGTTTCGGTGAATTTCTCAAATGGTGGATTCATAGAAATCAACAAGAATTGTTTGGTCTTGAGAAATACTTTGCAGGAAAAGCACCCGTCGGTGGTGAAGGGAGGGATATAGGAAGTTATGAAGGGTTTATTACTCCCTTGAGTATTCCTTCATTGGTGAATGGTGATGTAAGTGTGCATTAGGTAGTCATGAAAGTCATCCTTTCGAAGAAGCTAATCCGGGTGTTTGACTGTAACCTGAAAATGAGGTCGAATCTTGACGTAATTATTGGTCGACTAGTATGATGTATCCCGAAGATATATTCGGTTGTCAAGCTATATCGATTTGATCCTGACACCATATTTGATTATCACTATGTTGAAGGCCTGCCGCAAAATGGTAATGAAAACGATTGCGGTGTATTTACAGTAAAGTACCTCGAAGCCTTGATGTGTGGTGAAGAAATGACATTATGGACTAAAATTTGTGATGAAAATGCGAAGTCAATCCGTGAGAAGATTGCCGTGAATATCTTCTCTAATGGTAACATTGTCATGCTTCCTCCCGATGCTGAATGACGTGATGATTCCTCCCCTGATGCAAGATAATTTCTGATATTCTTATCTGAACTTTGTTTAATTTTACATCTTAAACTTTGGTTTGATTGTTTCGATTTGAACTTTTGATTTTATTTTATGTTGTGTTAAAATTTATTTTACTTCTTTGTTCATATATGGTGGGAATCTACTCAGTGTGACTAGTGTCCCGATGGTTCCATTGGTCACATTAGTCACACTAGTCACACTGAGCAAATTTTGAGAATTCAACACTTTCAGAGCGTAATGTACAATCAAAGAAAATGTTCGGAAAAGAAATCGTGGTCGAAAGTTTATGAGCATTATCTGATCGAAAGCTATGATCACAAAACGAATCTCATAAGTGATAGTAGTGTTTTAGAAACACTTTGGACCAATGTAACTTTGTGTTCGAAAATTTGTTGTTTTATCTGCCTCTAAACCTTCCTATAAAGTGACATTATACCGTTTTACAGTGTATAGACCTTATTTTAGCCCTCAACAGATGAATTGAGCAAGTTTTTTTCACATGTATGCATGTTCCGATGGTCACACTAGTCACACTGGTCACACTAATCACACTGAGCAAATTTTGAGAATTCAACACTTTCAGAGCGTAATGTACGACTAAAGAAAATGTTCAGAAAAGAAATCGCGGTCGAAAGTTTATGAGCATTATCCGATCGAAAGCTATGATCACAAAATGAATCTCATAAGTGATAGTAGTGTTTTAGAAACACTTTGGACCATTGTAACATTGTGTTCATACATTTTTTGTTTTATCCCCCTCTAAAACCTTCCTATAAAGTGGAATTATACAATTTTATAGTGTATAGACCTTATTTTAGCCCTCAGCAGATGAATTGAACAAGTTTTTTCACATGTATGCATGTCCCGATGGTCACACTGGTCACACTGAGCAAATTTCGAGAATTCAGCACTTTCAGAGCGTAATATACGACCAAAGAAAAGGTTCGAGAAAGAAATCGCGGTCGGAAGTTTATGAGCATTATCCGATCGAAAGCTATGATCACAAAACGAATCTCATAAGTGATAGTAGTGTTTTAGAAATACTTTGGACTAATGTAACTTTGTATTCGTAAATTTGTTGTTTTATCCGCCTCTAATACCTTCCAATGGTCACACTGAGCGAATTTCGAGAATTCAACACTTTCAGAACATATTGTACGACCAAAGAAAAGATTCGGAAAAGAAATCAAGGTTGAAAGTTGAT